AAGGATGATCATCACTGGTGGGACCTTCATGGTGGGCAGGTCTGTGAGGATTCAACATCAATGCTGGGGCTCTTTTCAGGAGAACAGACTACTGGCTAGGACCAATAATTGATTCTTCAATCTGCTCCTTTTTCATCAGGAACTGTTGGAGACTGGAAGAATATTATGACAGTATCGCAAAGTGAAAGGTTTGACAATATTTTTCAAGCACAAATGAAGGATATACCTCTCAAATTCATTTGGGATATAAAAGAAATACAATCTACTCAGCATGGGAAGCGGCAGGAACCTCTCCAGGAGGACAAAGAGCCGAAATGTTCAACACAACCATAATACGTATATGCACAGTAGTTTAAGCTATCACAATACACCTATGTATTTTCTGTATGTACTTATGTGTATTGTGTGCATAACTGCTTTCTTCTCAAAGTTGTTTCCTGCTTTCCTGCACCCTTAAAAAAAACATGGCTTTCGGTAACCCCATCTTTTTCTTTTTCGAAATATTGAAAACATCCTATAATTTATCACCACAAATGGGTCAAGATATACCAGAATGATTTCATAAAGATTTTTCAATAGAAACAAATGCTTTGGCGGCTGGGAGAAATGACTTTTGTAATATAGTAGAGAATAAAGATATGCTAATCAATTTTTTTAATGGGTCAACATAATGGTTGCTTCGATAATGGGAAAACTATTTTGGAACAGCACCTTTATATATCTTGGATATATTAATTTTGTATTGCTCGATTTTATAAAAAAGATGAAGTTAGGGAAAAAATATTTAGCACATTTGGTTACTTACATGCTACATCCAACAACTTTAAGTAATACCTATGGATATAGATTATGATGTAGAGGCCAAGTCAGAGGGTACAAGTGATCAGTTTTCTCTATACCTCTAGTTTAATAAGTTTAAAAATTAAAATGCAGTTGATATCATATGGAGCTTATTTTTCCCCTAAGTTCTTCCTTCTCTTTCCATATAGTTTCTTGCCAAACATTATCATTCTTCTTCATTTATTTGATCTGCCTCACTAATAAAATTATTCAAAAATTAGTTGATCAGATCAATTTCATTAGGGTTTTTTAACTTGTTGCAATTTTGCAACTCTCAGTGGTTTACAAATATTAAAACACTCAATCATCGAACAATAAGTCATCCACAAGCAAGCCAAGATTAGTCCACCATGCAATGGCCAATAGTCCATAAAACAAATGCAAAGCTGCTCCAGCAAGTAAGTCCACTAAACCAACTGAAAGTCACTAGGCAAAACTAAAAGTACCTCCAGGTACTGTACTGACACTGGTCAGGAGAAGTTCATAAGTCCAGCAGGAAGCATGAACAAACACACAGCCATAAATCATACACGTTGTTGCCAGCAACACCTCCCTCTGCCTGCCATACTAAATAGCTTCCTGGTGCATCCTGTCAAGAGGAGTGGGGCCTTCTCCTGAGTAATCTGGCAGACCTCCGTTTCTCTATCCTGCGTGCTCTGAGATCCACCATGGAAGGCAACTCTTCCCCATCCTCTTCACTTACCTGCAAGCTGTCCCCAGCAGAAGCCTGTAATTCTCTTTCTCCTGGCGGTTCAGGGTCAGTAATTAACCTTGTTCCTAAAATGCCCGGAATAAACTCATCCTCCCTCAAGCAGGCCTCCGAAAACGAGTCAGAGGAATTGTCCAAGAGAAACATCACTACTCCCCATGGTAAGACAGTAATATAAAACATATGGTTATATAGACTTCTGGTTACCAATTTTGGCCAGGCCATATAAATTTGCAGCAGTTTACTTCCCACTATTCAAGTTACTATCAACATTTAATCTGCAACAGATTCTATGAACTAACCTGAAATTCCAACAGCAAATATGAGGTTATAATTGAAGGTATGATGGAAAGCAAGGTAAACATTACCTCTAGGTTATCCCTTTGACCTGATTATCAAACTATGAACACATCACTAATGATATAAACCAGATGTAAGTTTTATTAACAGAATAAAACACATCTGACTTGATTCACACATCATGTTTAAACTACAGCTTGCAGATAAAACTGGCTAAAATGCCAACCTCATAGTTAAACCAACCAACAAATCAAACATGCTCTGTGTGAATTAAATCCAGGCATCCATGCTAAATTCAGTTTGCAAGATACTTATAATTTCTCCCAAGTAGTCTTCCCATGCTTTAATGCACATTGGTTTATCCTCTGAAGATTTGCCTTTTGGCACTATTAAACCTGCTTTCAAGGTAAAGATCAGATCTGGGATCCTCCAGACAATTTATGGGAAACCATATTTAAGGTTGAGAGGTTATGGAACATGGAGTCACAACTATCAGACGAGGTCCAGCTAGAAATCCAGTCCACTAAAGTCATATGTAATCACTTATTTTTTCATTCCTCATGTTCATTACTGAAACAGATACCAAAGAGAGGAAATGTTTCATTTTAAAAAGGAAAGGAAACAATAATGTATAATTAATTAAACCGCATTGCACTTTTAAAAACTCTTATCTTTGAAAATCATTTTCAGTACGTATCCAAACTCATAACCTCTTGCAAGCTTCTCTTCTAACAGGAGTTTAGATTGGTTTCTATTGATCGGCCACAGTGTGTGATGCTGCAAAGAAACACAGAACCTTTGAGTAAATTTAAAATTTGAGCAGATTTAATATTTAAAAAGTCACTTATTTATATTATTTTTATCCCTTACATTCAAATCATAACATATTGCAAAATGAGATATATTTTTATGTGTAATAAATTGGTGCAGATGTTATTCCCTCCCCGTTCATAAATTATCTCCTCCCCACTTCGTTGTCCCATGGTGGTGAATTGTCCCCACATCCAGGGGGCGGGGGACCACTTGTTACACATTCAGACAACCGGGCATGCCATTGCACCGAATTATCATCGGCAACCCGTCAGCGCCAATCCATGAACACTGGCCCATTGGTGCCAAGTGCTCCACACCGATCTGTTGGCGCCGACCAATCCACACTGAGCTGCTTGCACCGACCCACCCATGCCGAGTTGTCCTACACCTGAGACGACACAGTAAAATCCAGTTGAATCCAATCCTACATTTGCTGATACCTAATGCGGACAATCTTGCCAAACCAGTCACAAACATTCTGACTGGCTCAAGGTTGACTCAGCCTTCCATCTTTCTGAGATTGATAAAAAGAGGACATAGATTGTTGGGGTCAATATCCTGATTCTGTAAACTGTTTAGAGAGGCAATTTAGGCTTGCTTTCTGATGTCAACAGTCCACAGTTCAAACCCTTTAAAGAAACAATGTCAGTCAACCGTGCATCCTTTCATAGTCAACAGATAAAAGCCTGCTTCTAAATTTCAGGAGTGTCATTTTCCTTCTGCTCTGTTCAATGCTTTATTTCTGAAGAGATATTAAATAATCAGCAAGAAAGAACCATAAAGGTAATTCTAAAAGATTTATTCCTAGCATTAAGACAGATGATGGTAGTTTATTAGAAAATGTTTGATTAAGATGTTAATGATTTTAAGCTTCGTTTTAAAGTAGTTCTCTGACGTTTTACTATTAACAGGTATAGCACATACATTTTTTCATTTTTTTTTTTAGAAAAAAGTCATGTCGATGCAAGGATCAAAAAATGCATACATTTGTTTAGGATTAAACCAGTTTGACTTCATATATTAACCAGAATATTTAACTGATCAGTGCTGTTAAAATGTATGATTAATGAGGCATGCATATGGTCATCTAATAAAATCATTAGAATATCAACTAGATATGTACATCTGTAATTACTATAAACTAGAAATCAGAAGGAGTTGAGTAGCATCTCACAAAAGCTTATGCCTCTTAATAAAAAGTGTTAATTTGGCTATCAGACTCCTGATTTGTTACTATCCCAGACTAACACAGTTCTCCTCATATAATGTATACAAGGAGTATTTACTCAGTACTCATTTAGTAACAGAGTTCCTTTCCAACAACCAGGTCTGCAACGGAATGGTTGCTGAGTGAACACGTGATAGAAAGATAGAGAGAGAAATTTTTCTTACGCAATTATACCAAGGCTTATTTGTTTATTGTATATTTCATATTTTGGAGCCATCCATCTCCCTCAGAGAGGGGTTCTGGTTGATATACAATAATGCATGAGCATATAAAACTATAGAAAAATTAAAGTTTTAAAGTTAAATTGAAGAATTAATTTTTTAAAAAAAATATATAGAATTTTTCAAGAATAATGCACCCTGTTAAAATTATTTGACAAAGGCAAAGGGAGGGCTCCTTGCATGATCTCCTAAAACACTTTTAACATCAGTCTCCACTAAATTCTGTGGAATACTTTAAAATCCCTCTTTCCTTTCCATCAAAGAGTGGTCATACCAACATATATTTTTATTAGTTCTTCTCAAATTAAGTTCAAAAAAGTTTCTCCATGTCCTGGGTATATGTAACAGCTATAAAAATTCCAACTTCCTTGTTTTTCTCTTGGTAACACTGAAGCAGTGGTAAAATCCAAATTTTTTTACTACCGGTTCTGTGAGCCTGGCTTGGTGGGCGTGGTGTGGCTTGGTGGGCGTGGCTTGGTGGGCATAGCAGGGAAAGGCTACTGCCAAATCTCCATTCCCACCCCACTCCTGGGGGAAGGATATTGCCAAATCTCCATTCCCACCCCATTCTGGGCCCATCCAGAGGTGGTATTTGCTGGTTCTCCGAATAATCAAAATTTCTGCTACTGGTTCTCCAGAACCTGTCCAAACCTGCTGGATTTCACCCCTGCATTGAAGACCTTAAATGTAACTTTTTGAGTTCCAATTTTAACAGTTGTAGAAAAAAGAAATAGACTTTTTCTGGGTTGTTTTCTCTTGGGATTCATCGCTGAAGAAGATTGCCAAATGTGAATTATTGAAACAATAATTATAAAGTGAGAGATCTTGACCTTCTGTTTATGCTGCTAACATTAAGGAAGGAAAATAAACCCTTTAATTTTTCTTTTATTGCAGTCCTATTATTATGGAAAAAGCAGAATATGCAGAATTATTCAACTATAAAGGGTATAATTTAACAAAAGAATTAATGAAACTTGATCTCCTTGAAGCAGTAGAAGATTTTGAAACCAGGGACAGTGATATATTCATAGACACTTATCCAAAGTCTGGTAAGAATTCTGTAATATGACATGAGCAATGCATATTTAAATTTCATACTGTAACTAAGCTTTCTCTTTGGGAAGTTGCATTCTGCCCCTCTGTATGAAAGTAAGTAACCCTTCTTGTTGGAAATCATTCTGCATTTAACAAAAGGTAATAGGTCTGCCAAAAGGGTATGATTTATTTTTTAAATCTGGTACTAGTGAAGCTAAGAGAATCTAAGAAATCCTCCATATTTGTATCCTTTACTAACAAAGGGAATTCTGCGCGATTATGGTTTTGTTTAAAGGATATTTTGAAAGTATTAAAGCCAAATAAGGCTCCCCATTCAAGAGCTTGGTGCTCTTTACTATTCACCCTATCACTTCCTCCATATTCTGACTCACCTCTGTCAGCCAGGAAAAAAATAATAGCTACTTTGATCTCTTGTATTCAAGGCCTTTATAGACAGAAGGAATTTCAAGAATAGTTTTTCTGAAAACTATTTTCTCTGGTTTGGGGAAAATGCTGGATTCCATCAAAGCAGGAGATGGACCTTTCCCATGACACAGTTCTAACTTGTGAATAGATACATTGCCCTGATTATGTTGATTTAGTTTGGAATTCCGCACCTGTGATTGTAGCCTTTGTTAGTTCCCCTCTTCACAAATAAATGCCTTTATTTTAGAACTTGGTCTGTATCATTGAACATAACAAGCCTCATTGAATGCATGGTTCTACCTCCCCTTTTGTTTTTTTAAGATTCTGGAGTATTTCCTATACTGTGGCTTTGAAAAAACAATTTCCAAGCTCCTTTCTTTCTCAAGCGCTCTAGAGCTAGAAAGAAGGAAAGAATGTAGCTACAGCAGGCGAAGAAGGTGAAGCAGCAGGTGAACCTAGGCAAAATCACATCTGATACCTGTGCAATTAGCACAGCAGCCCCCCAAGGCTGTGTGCTCTCTCCACTTCTCTTCTCTCTCTCTCTCTCTATACCAATGACTGCATCTCAAAAGATCCCTCTGTTTTTCCCCCAAATCACTTTTTTTAATTTTAAAACAAAAATAAAACATAAAAACATCATCATTCCAAATAATTACAGACAGTGATCGGTTAACATCCTATTGTGCTCCCTCTTCTCTTCAAAATATCACTATACATCCAAAGCTTAATTTCATAAAAAATATTCCACTTAATTGATCTCAATATCTACATGTTATATATTTATCTCCATGTTTTATTGTCCATCCATTGATAAAATAAGTCCCATATCAAATAATATTGTTTATCTTCCTGTTCTCTTATTTCAAATGTCAATTTACTCATTTCAGCACAATCCATCATTTTCTTAATAATTTCTTCATCAGTAAGTGTCTTTTCTCCTTTCCAATTTTTAGCAAATACAATTCTAGCCGCCGTTAGAAGGTTTACAATTAAATATTGCAATTCTTTATTATATGTCTCTGGTAAGATCCCTAATAAAAATATCTCTGGTTTAAAGTCAATATGTCTCTTCGTCATTTTTTCCAACCATGTGTGTATCTTAGTCCAATATCGCTTTGCTTCTCTGCATGTCCACCACATATGGTAATAGGATCCTGGAGTCTGATGGCATTTCCAACATTTCTCCAATTTATTCTGGAACATCCTGGCTATCCTTGTTGGGGGTAAATGCCACCTGTAAAACATCTTATACAAATTCTCCTTATATGCTGTTGACATCGTCATTTTATAATTATGTGACCACAATTTTTGCCATTTCTCTAAATCAATACCATAGCCAACATTTCCCCCCCATGCTATCATTGCTTCTTTAACTTGATCTTCTTCCACTTTTACTTCTAACAAATATCCATACAACTTTTTAATTATATGATCATCAGAGCCCATTAAAATCTTATCCAAATTAGTCAAAACATTATAAAAACCTTTTGTTTGAGATCCTCTCGATATCAAGAAAATATTTGCATGTATGAAAATCAGTCCATCTTACATTCCTGATCTTCTAGATCCTGCTTTAATTTAAGTTCACTCTTTTCATCCAGTAATTCACTATACCTAATAATTTGTTCCCTTTTAAATATTACTGGATATGAAAAAGCTTCAATTCAAGGTGTTGGTTACCACCTTTAAAGCGCTCCATGGCATAGGACCTAGTTATCTTCGAGACCGCCTTCTGCCACCGACGACCTCCCATCGACCCGTGCGCTCCCACAGAGAGGGCCTCCTCGGGGTGCCATCAGCCAAGCAATGCAGGCTGGTGACCCCCAGGGGGAGGGCCTTCTCTGTGGGGGCTCCCACCCTCTGGAATCAGCTGCCCCCAGAGATAAGGAGAATCCAAGACCTCCGTGCCTTCCGCCGTGCCCTTAAAACTTTCCTTTTCCAACAAGCCGGGCTGGCCTAGCAAATCTTTTAAATGATTTTAAATTTGTCTTTTTAAATTTTGGGCCAAATTGAGATATTTTCTTTTAATCTGTTCTTAATGTATTTATTATGTGTTTTTATTTGGCTGTACACCGCCCTGAGTCCCCTAGGGAGAAGGGCGGTATATAAATTTGAAGTAAAATAAAATAAAATAAAATAAATTGTAGATACCCAGACTGGAATCTTCAAATAGTGATATTTTTTGACCTCCTTCCAATTCAACCATAAAGCTTCACGTATCTGATGTCTTCTAAAATACCCTTGTATTTTTGTTCCTTTGTACCATAAAAAGGCATGCCACCCCATCAACAAATCATGTCCCTCATGAACTCTAAACATAAACTGAATAGACAAAAGAAAAGATTAGAAATTGAAGCAGAAATAAAGAAAAAAGAACAGTTACTTATCAAAAGTCCAGCAGATGAAAGAATACGTGGTGCTATAAAACTTTTGAAAGATCAATTCCAAATGCTTATGGCGGATCAAGTTGCAACAAATTTACAATATGCAAAGCATAATACATTCTGTAATGCCAATAAACCGGGCAGATGGCTGGCTTATACATTAAGGAAGAAACAGAGTATGCGAACTATCGACTGTATTGATATTGGAGGGAAAGAAATTTATCAACAAAAATTAATTAAAGAAGCTTTTGTAGATTATTATACTAAACTATATGCTAAAGATGATATACAGAATGGACTTATAGAAAAATAGTTAGAAAATAAAAGAGTTACAAAAGTTACTAATCAACAAAAGGAAAGAATGAATCACCCTATAACAGTGGAGGAAATAATTGCAGCAATTAAACAACTGAAAACTGCCAAAGCTCCGGGAACAGATGGCTTGACTGCAGTGTATTATAAAACTTTGCAAGCAGAAATGGTGGAACAACTTAGAGACTTATTTTGTAACATACAACAAGGGGGTAAAATACCCCCATCATGGAAAACAGCTTATATTTCTTTGATACCAAAAGAGCAAGCAAGTCCTAAAAAACCGGAGAACTATAGACCAATATCTCTTCTGAATAATGATTATAAAATTTATGCAAAAGTACTAGCCAACAGGTTGATGCCAGTAATTCAAGAGGTGATTCATGATGATCAAGCGGAATTTATAGAGGGTAGATATATGAAGGACAATGTAAGACAAGTTATAGATTTATTGGAATATCTTGAGAAGAATAAACAGATCCCTGCAGTGCTGGTTTTTTTGGATGCGGAGAAAGCCTTTGACAGAGTGGATTGGAATTTTCTATTAAAGACTTTAAAAAAGATGGACTTTGGGGATCAATTTATACAAGCAGTTTCAGCAATTTACCAAGAGCAAAAGGCACAGATTATTATTAATGGAAATTTAACAACAGATTTTAATATTGAAAAAGGAACAAGACAAGGTTGTCCGTTATCCCCTTTGTTATTTATTTTAACACTAGAAGTCTTGTTGAATACAATACGGGATTCGAACAGCTTGAAAGGTATAGTGATAAGGCAAGAGGATTACAGAATAAGGGCATTTGCAGATGACCTGGTTGTTACCCTTTCACAGCCGATGGAATCAATAATCCAGATGAAAGACATTATAAAAGATTATGGTACAGTATCAGGATTTAGACTGAACCAGAAAAAAACTAAGATGATAGTTAAAAATATGACACAAGATCGAAAACATGAATTTGAAAGGACGGCAGGCTTTGAGATTGTACCAAAGGTTAAATATCTAGGAGTTCAGGTTGCAGAATCAAATATGAAACTATTTCAAAACAATTATGAGGTGTTATGGCGAGACGTACAAAAAGATATGGAGACTTGGAAAAAGCTGCAGCTTTCGTTACTTGGAAGAATAGCAGCAGTTAAGATGAACATTTTGCCAAGATTTCTTTTTTTTGTTTCAAATGATTCCGGTGCTTAAAAGTGATAAACAACTGAAAGAATGGCAAAGTGGAGTGAATAAGTTTGTTTGGAACGAGAAAAAACTGAGAGTGAAACTAAAAATTATGCAAGATGCTCCAGAAAGGGGAGGCCTTAAACTTCCAAACTTACAGTTATATTATGAAGCAGCAGCTTTGACTCAAGCAAGTGACTGGTTTGGAAGGAAAAAGTCTGGAATATTGAATATAGAAAGCTTTGACCTTGATCTTGGTTGGCACGCTTACTTATTTTATGAAAACAAAGTGGATAAAGTATTTAAAAGCCATATACTTAGAGATTCGTTGATGAGAGTTTGGAAGAAGCACCGAATCAAATGGGATTACAAAATACCGTTATGGTTGGATCTTGGTCATATTATGTGGAATACAAATATAATGTCACTCGGGGGGGGGGGGTTTATATAAAGAAGTTCTTTTTACAGATGCTGGCAGATGGCAACTAAAGACATTAGAGACAGTGTTGGATGAAGGGATTAACTTAACTTGGTTACAGTATAATCAACTTCAACTGAGATGGAAAGAGGACCAAAAAACTGGTATTATGTTGCATGAGGAAGAATTGGTTAGACTTATAAAAGAGAAAGGTCCAATGCATATTAAAAGGCTTTATAATGTTTTGTTAGAAAGGGATTCAGAAACTGAATTGGTTAAAGATTGTATGATTAAATGGGCACA